CAGATGAATTTATTGCTATTGTTATCATATGCAAATGCATATTACTATAGTGCTACCTCAACACATTTGATGATAAATTATAGTGACCATATATATTATGCTTTCAAATACCTACAATTTATCCAACATATATTCAATTACCTCTACTCCCTTATCTATGCAAATAAATAAGCAAAGAATTTTGATGGATGGGAAGATTGAAGAATAGTGGGGAAACATAAGTACTAAATAAATTGCAGCAATGACAGTACTGAATCAGTGTCCTTATTTGATTAAAGTGAAACAAGTAATTCCATTTCTTGTGGTTTTTGTTTTAGCTCGGTGATCCATTATATGTCTCCAAATATTGATTTTAATCAAACCGAGATATAATCTGATAAAGAGTTACACAACATTACTTGTCTGACTTGTATTGAACCAGTATGTGCCCAATTAGTTATGTATAGAGGTATTCTGTTAGCAATATGTGGTTGGTGAACACTCTAGGCATGAATACTTATTTGAGGAGAGGAGAGAAGATTAAATTGCACGAGTTAAGGTAGCTCCATGCAGTGCAGACGAGAAACAAATAATATAAGCACTGGCAATACTCTTCACAGTAATATTCATTTAGTGAGTAATCAAAGATGAAGAAACACAAGTAATAAACAAACGGGAAGGGATAAAATGCTTACCAGAGAAGAGTGGTGAGCTGGGGTCTGGGGAAGGGAACCTCCGCCAAGTGAGGAAAACATATTTACAGAGGAGACAAGGGGAGATCGATCTTGAGAGAGCCTCTTCAATTTCACTAAGTTTGAGCTACACAAGAGATGTAAAAGACGGGGATTGCGATGTAGCTTCAATTGCACATTCAACCATAGCATTAAAACACACCGTTGAGGAATGCTATAGGGAGACGGGCTGGCATCTGGGCAGTACGAAGTGGGTGGGTTCTTAGTGCCTGCTAACCAATTTGTGTCGAATGTGATGAAATCTATAGGGAGATGGGGCGTTGCGTTGTGAGGGTGAGACGGTGCGCTAACAGAAGGATGATAGACGTTTAATACGGAGGAAAGAGTACAATTATCTAAGCATTGGGTATATATCTCTAAAGCTATCATGTACCACCAACACATTTTTCATACCTAAAATACTCTTACCTCTATTCATGCTTATAATATTTGAGAGAATTGGTAGCAAGTAAAATAAATATTAAGAGCCCGTTTGGTAGCACCAAAATCGGCTGTTTTGGCTGATTCTGCTGAAATTTATGATATTCTGGCTGGAGTGGCTGTTTTGGCTGATTCTGCTGATTTAAGAAAAAAATATTTTAAAAATATATTTTATTAATAAATTAAAGAAAAAATTATATGTAAAAATAGCTAAAATGGTCCTCTACAGTAACTTCAGCCAATACAGCCAGAAAAGTAACTCCAACCTTACTTTTTCGGCTTATTACACAATTCAGCGCGCGAAAGTAAAAATTACGTGTTTGGTGAAAAAGCTGGCTGATAAGCCTGATAAGTCGAAAACAGAGTTCTCCAAACGGGCTCTAAATATGACATCCTCAAAAGTCATTTAAAAGTTATCACCTGATCCAGAAAGGCCTTGGCGGTTTGCTCTCGTCTCTACCCTCCAAAACTTTCTTAAGTCTTCGCCGAGTGTGGAAGAAAAGAGACGCCAATGGATGAAGATCGGCCTCATAAACTAGCCCGAGCTATAATCCCCACTTTGATCGGAGTACTGCTGACGCTGAGTAATTCTGAAAGAGCCCTAGCGTCCAAATCTTCATCAGCTTTCGTTCAGAACGTCATTTACTCCAATAAAATCGCCATCTTCTCCAAATCTTATTGTCCGTAAGTCTCTCATTTATCTATTTTCTCAACGTGTAGTGCCGTTCCAGACGGTGGTACCAAATTTAGTACTTCGGTGGTTGGAGATGTTTTATATTGGCGATTGGACATGTAGTTCATGTTTTTTAATGACTTAGTCCAATCGGAGTTCAATTTCTATGCTTTTTCACATGCAAATATTAGTTTGGAAATGGTATTCCATTCTTACTTTTATGATTTGTCATCATCAAAAAGTAATACTCACACAGCTGCACTAGTCGTTCAATTTTTCTTAAAAGAAATGCACTGTATAACGAATTAATTGAAACACGCATTACTAGCACACCTCTTTTAGATGGAAAACTAACACAAATATCACTAAACAATCTGTTAGTACTCTGAATGAGTGTATAACTTTCCCAACGTTAGACTGTAGCTATGGAAGTACTGGTTTTAAACCCTAATTCATGAAGTGTTGGGCTTTTTTAGAAATACATGCATGTGCCCACTGTTTTGTGACCTTACAGATCATTTAAACCTTCACATAATGCAATGTCAGCAAGGCGATACATTACAGCCTGAATGACTGTATTTTGTTACATTGTAGTATCCTAGACTTCTAAACATTGGCAGTCTACAGTTAAATGCTATGAGAATTAGTGGATATGGCAAGCTCATCCTCTAGAGTTGAGACTGTTAAATGTCATGAGTCTGGGCTATGGGAATAACCGAATAAATTCATCTTTCCCAATAACCTTCAAGACTTCACCTTGTCAAAACCTTATGGTTAAGCTTGGAATTGTATGACACTCCTTCTGACCCGCTAATTTTGGGACAAAAGGAAGTGAATTTTTTTTAGAAAAAAAGTGGAGTTTTGGAGCTAATGCAAATTTGTATAGTATAAGTGATCGTGATTCAAAAAATGTATGACCATATATGGTATTGGTCATATAGTTGGGAAGGACCAAAGTGGAAAGATGATACAAATATAGTAGGTTGGAAGGGGAATGTTGATGAAGTGAAAGCCCTATTTACTTGGTTAGCAAGTAAGTTGGTTTGTAATCTATTGCTCCCTACATTATATTTATTAGAAATATTAACTGAAGAAGAAGAGTAACAGTAGACTAATAATAATAACAATGATAATGATAATAGGAAACTAATACTTATACTAAAATTAACTGATAATAATAGGTTCATATCATGAAAGCATTAAGCTTGCTGACTATCTTCTTGCTTCATGAACCATGATGCTGTGGGAGCGAATATTCGGCAAGACTACCTTGTAGTGTCTTTATAGTATTGAATGCATATGTTTTTCTTTGTTGTTAAGGTTCACAAGGATATATATAAATCTCAAAGACCAAAAATCTTTTTAAAGGCTGTATGACACAGCTAAAATCAAAGAGGTGTCAAAAATGAGCTCTGTATTTAGTACTGAAGATGTTGAAAAGATAAAAATTATGATGATGCATTGTTCAAATCTATTATGTGATGCTAGACAAACTCATGGCTAGGGAAACTTGATCTTGAAAGGTGCAAAAAAAAAAATTAAGATTGTAATCTAATCTTTGGTCTTTCTCTTTTTTTAAAAGGTATTCCATGCGTGCCAAGCACATATTTCATGAACTAAAGGAGTTGCCTTTTGTTGTGGAGCTGGATCTTCGAGGTAATTCATTCTTTTTCCCTTCCTCTGCTATTAAATGTGTCGATTAATACAAGGCGATGGACTTTCATTTGCCAGACTCTCACTGAATTTAGTGATGTTATGGTGACATACTACACTGAATTACATATGTACTTTCACTTGTCACTGAATTTTCTTTTCCCAGTGTTGTCTGTCCAATGTAGATCTGAAGTGTTTAATACAGACACTTTCACCAATAGAACAGCAGCTATAAAACTAAAACATCTAGTACTTTATTTGTCTTTATTGTTATTCTTTTATTATTGTGCTTCTGCATGACAGTTGAATAAACAGGCATATTGATGAAAATCATGTTCAAACTGGTAAAATGGGTTAATAAATTAACACATTTAAACAAATTAAACATGATAGACACTTCTATAGTTAAAAAATAAAGGCATTGACTCATTGTAACCACTGAGAGTGATTAAAGGCCCAGAAAATGTGAATAGGCTCCTCAGTGACTGCATACAATTGCCAGATATCTGTGGCTAAAATATGAAAGATCGTAGTAACAGAGACTGTAGAACAAAACTACTACCAACTTGACATATGGGAAGTGATGGTTTTATTGGTCAGATGATGGGAACCACATTCAAGACGTCCTTCTAGATCTGGTGGGCCACAGAACAGTCCCGCAAATATTCGTGAACGGGAAACATGTTGGTGGATCTGATGGTAAAGCTTCAAAAGTTTAATTACATATCTACTTTACTTGCTTTGGTTAACTGTCTAATGTCTATACTAATTTAACCCCCTCCCTTCATCGGCTTGTGATAATTTAGATCTCTATAATGCGGTTGAAAATGGACAACTGAAATCACTCCTAAGCAAAGAATGATCCTGAATGACACTGATGATTTGCTAGAGTTACAAATTCAATTGCTGGACGGCCAAACTAAATTTTGCCAGAAAGACTTTGTTAAAGCTACCACTGAATATTGACGTCAATATATGGTAGTTGTGACTTGTGAGGTTGGATGTATAATTTTCTAAAACAGCACCAATTAGCAATATACTACGTAGTACTAATTTGTATTTGAGACAATCATTTCAAAGTGGTGCTTGTCATAGTATTGCTTATTACAGTCCTCTATTTGATATGAACCAGAACTAGAATCTTATTGATAACGGTACGTGCGTGTTTGGAACCTCACTGACCGTTGTAGCGGTGTAACCGTTGGATTTACGAAGTTCTAACACAGTGGATTAATCATTTTCAGTGAAGAAACTCATTTATAACATTCATCATTAGTAACTAAATAAGCAAGTCAAATGTTACTTCTTCCATTTATTCAGATTAATCGGATGTCTTGGTACTCTGCGTTTTGGAGTAATCGAGCCATTCGAGCATAAATTGGACTGCTAAAATAATTGAAGTGGCAAGTGCATGGTTTCATGTTGACACTCTCCCAAAACTATTGCAAACCAATTCTGGTTCTTCCAAACTTGGACCCGAACTCACTTATTCTGGAGAATTTTTATATATAATCTAAAAACCTGGAATTTCTCTGGATACAACTTCACTTTATAATACAGGGGTCTGCATGAATGCATGATTAACTATAGAGAGGGTTTGACGCATTCTATGAATCAGGTTGAGACGTTGAGTAATGCGCAAAATTTATATACCACAAGGGGAGTGGGCACATTAAACCCTACAAGATTCTCCACCTAAGATGACTAACAATAACACTTCCACACTGATTTTATGAAATGGCAATAGCTTTTTCATGTGGGATAGGGCAAAAAATTGTAAAGTACATACTTCTACCCTCAAAAAAGTTACTGATTCGATAGTTGACTTTATGATGCTTTGAAATACTCCATAAATAAAAGCATTAGGTTGAAGATGCAGCATATGCTTCGGGTCGCCACTCCGTTTTCTCAGCGCTAAGCATTCCATCTTGTTTTTGATAAAAGGTCATCCGTACCTCCCAATGCAAAGACTTGAGTATGTTTTCTACTTCCTTTATTGTTCCCGAGTCATCTTGCATTATAAATTTCCCTCCAGGTCTAACTATTCTGTCCACTTCAGCCATTACAGCAGATATCTTGCACCTGCAGTATAATATTGGACATTTTTCATTTCTCAACTTCAATAATTAACATTTTCACCATACGCTAATTTATTTCCCAAGTGGAACTAAGAGTATCAAGTAGATGATACCTGATTTGGATACGAGAGACTATATCTGGTTTTGATTTCTTTTCTTAAATTAGGTAAATAAGTGAAAATTCAGTACAATATACGAAATTAAGAAAGTGAGAAACGTGTTCTGGTTTAATGTGTGTGAATTCCCAGTGTTTCGAATGTATACCTCAATTTGAGCTTAGAGAAGAGATGATCAGCATGGAGGAGATCATATGTTCTTGGGTATGTGCTGAAGGATTCACACCAGTCGTGGTATATTCCAAAGAGGCCACGCTCATATATGATTGGAAGTGTGTCTGGTGAGTCCACATTTACCACATTCATTACCCACACTTTCAAGTCCTTCAATGCCGCAGCAAATCTGTAAAACATGCACAAATACAATGCAAGCTGAATCTTGTGTTAGGGCAGGCCCGATAGGAATTGCCGTCCGGCTGCCTCCATTTGAAATGCTTTCGGTTGGATTTTTTGATGAAATTTTGCAATCATGTTATTCATGAAGTGTTGGTTATATGACTTACATTCACCAAATTTCAGCTTAAAACTCAACCAGGAAGTTAGTTAAATAAATTATTTAAAAAAACACTACGTTTTTATATATATATTTTGGTACAATGTTATTCAATAATTTATTTAACTGACTTTCCGATTGAATTTTAAGCTAAAATTTGGCGGACATAATCTACACTTTATGAAGAATATACTCACAAAATTTCATCAAAAAATTGTACACGAAAACAACTCAAATGAAGCTGGCCGGATGGCGGTGCCGGTCACGACATCCCGACAAGACTTTACAATGCAAATATGTAAGACACACTTAACTTTGTTAGTCATATACTCCGTATTCGGTATGTAGTATGAGAAATTCATGAATGTTTTAGTCATATATATAAGTCTCCCAAATAAAAACTTATAATGTGTAAAGTCCTTGAGGGTCAAATTGATTGAAGGAGTAGTTCAAGATCTTAATATAACACTTTATTGCTTTATATTCTGTACTTTACTTGGGCTTCAACATCATGTGGTGAAAAATCTCATTTAAGGGAAAAAATAATTACTATGAATAATTTTTGTACTATTAAGAGGGAATTGTAATTTACCCCCCATAAACGGCTCTCATGTCCATGATGTTTCTTACGCTGGACCAGTTGATTCCCAATCCGCTCATGTATGACTTGCTGATTACATGTTTCCAGTGTTCATAATCAGCTGCAAAGTCATCTGGAGCTGGTTTGCCATATATGCCCATCTGAGATCTGTTTAACCAATACGGCGGCGTTTGAAGTCTCTCTGGCCACTGTTTAGGCCACTTTGATCCTCTATCCTTCTCGTCCGTAGAGATTCTGTGCATGCATGCTTGCAAAGGTACATACCTAGAAACCATGCAAAAGTATGTTCTTGATGATTAGCATATTAGATTGAATAAATCTTGAAGATTTGTGGCTACTTGAAATGTTGAACCTCAAAACTAGGTACTATTAGGGTTTTAATTGTGGTTGCAATTGCGAGTGTGGTTGCAGTCGTGGTTGTGGTTATTGCTACCGCTGCGATGTGTATTGCGACCGATGCAGTGTGAGTTCATTTTTTGTTCAAACGGAATAAGAAAAAAAATTTAAATTAGTGTTGTGGCATGGTGCAAACCGATGTAGCCAGATGCGACTCCTTAACGGTTACATTGACGACTGTTTCCGTGAATTGGATTCTCACCCCAATTGCAGCCGATGCGATTGCAGTTGCGGTGTCGTCCACAATCACAATATTGTGGCCGCATCGGATGTTGCGGTCCACAATTTAAAACGTTGGGTAGAATTATTATAGAAGTATGAGTTTTAAGTGCTAAAAAGAATAGGGGGAAATTAACTTGGATGATCACTTTACTTCTAAATAAGTTTCAATTTGTTCACATAACTTTAATTTGATTCATTTAGATCATTTAACTATACCTTTGATTGCAGATTAATCATATCCGGCATATTACTTGCCGGAATAGTGATTGCTCAATTAAGTGTGTTTTATCTTTCAATTTATTACTCCGTATAATTCTAATAAAACCATCTCATCCAATATTCATCCGGTCCTCAAGCTCCATCGTGCCTGCTACACTATTACTGTCAGCTCCAATTCTTTCTTCCTCGGTATTCTCAAACCGGAAGCAGATTAGCTTGGGAATTACTCCAGTATTATAATGATGAAGGTTCAGGGCATAGTTAGTGTCCGGCCAAATAAAAGCAGACCTAGACTTAACCAAATACGTCGTCCATCGTCTTCTACGTATTCATGCCAGAGACAGAGGGCAGCGTTTACCTCCTTCGAGGATGAAAAGAATGACCCGTTGACAATCTAGAGACGAGACGGAGACCCGGCCGGAGTTGTAGCCTAGTAATCATGGAGGACGATGGGTAGCTAGGATAGAGAAATATTTCATGTCTTTCATGTCTTTCATATCTCCTCCTCGTGTAGAGACAACTGGCAGCTCTTTCCATGTTGAGCAGCAAATGGGGCATATGAGGCTGCCTTGTTTCTTCACATGTGCAGCAACGCAAGGGAAGTGAAAGCTATGAGAGAATTCCATCATGAATATGGCCGTCCCTTGCCCAGACTTCACCGTCCTTGAACAAATCTCACACCTACTCTTAGAGAGACGAAGGCTGGATTTGAGGAGAAAAAAGGGGAAGTAGAGCCAGGAGAAGAAGGCTGCGAGAGGTGGAAGAATCTGGGGCTCTTAGACTAATGTTTTCCGGCAACATAACATGCCGGAATGATGAATTTGTAATCAAATTAAAATTAAATGATTGAAATGGATCAATTTAAAGTTGAGTGACCAATTTGAAACTTACTAAAAGTTAAGTGACCATCCAAATTAATTGGCCTCTCAAAGTGTATAAGATACAATTTGGTATGGAGTACGTACTATTTAATGCAGTATTCCTTCTGTCCCATAAAACTTGGCCATATTGACTTTTCTTGGTCAATGATGGCCAAGTTTGAACCTTGTATTTTTTTAATATGTAATTATTTCAAATATGAAAATTATATGAAAATGTCCTTTGTCACTTTCATAAAAGTCTAAAAGTTATAAGTTTCACACAAGTATAATAACTAAAATCATTATCCGAAGTTTATTACCATTGACCAAGAAGAGTCAAATTGGCCAAGTTTTGTGGGACGGAGGGAGTATAATCTTCTGATATTTACTCTTTTAGTCATGTAAATTTTTTAAGTTTCCACCTTTATTGTGCCATAATTTACTCAGTTACAGATTTGATTTTATAACTAACAAGTTTATCTATATTAATGACTTTCACGGGAAAATACATTTTCTAACAAAAAGCACACTGGAAAATAAAGTAACTCTAACCTTACCTATTTTGATTATTACACAATTTTTGCGCGCAAAATAAAAAATTACATGTTTAGTGAAAAAAGTTAGTTGAAAAATCATAAGTACAAAAAAAGGGTCACCGAATGAACTCTAAATTCATTTTGTAATTTAAAGTAGAAGGGATAGAGGATATGTGAGCTTACCAGGCAGCATTTGGGTCATCGTCGTCATCACACATAGGGGGAGTTTTGGATTTTCTATGATTGTAGCAAACATTGTTTTCGGGTTTGTGATAGATAGCTACACCAATGGAGTTTAGTTTATCCTTCTTTATCCCAACAAGCTTCCAACACATAGACACAGTCAGGGTCGACATTTCTGGGACTCAATGTAAAGTAACAATAATGAGACACTGAACGAATAATCACTAATTTTGTACTCATATTCCTAATATATTAAAGGATCCATAAAACAAGACGTGATTGATTATGTCATACCCTTCCAAATTTGCACGTCTTCCTTAAGTGTTTGGTAGACGGGAGTTGCAGACCAGACAAAGTAACCTCCAGGACGAAGCACTCGATTTAATTCCAAAAGTAGCGCTCCACCTTCATGGCAAAAATCAAGCATTTTATAACATGGGTGATGTTTTTGAATAATTAAAGTGAAACTTGTGGATTTTTCCGTCCCATATGACCATGATCAACTCGACCACGGACGAACTCGCCCAGTGACCAACCCGACTAGTGACCATGACCATTCCGATCAGTGATCAACCCGACCATGACCAACTCGACCAATGATCATGACTAATCTGATCAGTGACCAATTATTGATAAATGAACTTGACCAATCCGTCTAGTGACCTCCGCCGCCCCAACAGTGACCACCGCCCAGTCCACCCGAGTAATTATGACCTCACCACTCTCACTCCCCCACCATGCGGATAACGCTGCCCCACCCGCCCAGCCCCCATCCTCCCAAACCTCCCCTTCCAGCCTCCCAAACTTTCGCGTGCCCAAATAAGAAGGACAATAACTTTGAATAATATCAATTATCAACCATAAATCAATAATAATACATACTATGAAATGAATTATATTAATATAAACTATTTGGATACATAACAAATATAATATCGAGTCACTTTTTGATAAGAAATCCAATCATTTAAGATATAAAAAACCGCTATCAAATTATCAAATAAATGGTATTTTGAAATAAGGTCACTTATTTGATATTTTGAAATTAGTTTTTGATGAGTTAAATGACTGAATTTTTAGTGAAAATTTCAAAGGAGAAAGTCACATACCTTCGGCGTGCCAAGGGACTCTGCAACGTGCACAATGCACAATGTCAAAGACGCCACTGGGGAAGGGGAGGCGTTGAGAGCCCATGACGGCGGAGATTGCCGGAATCCCTCTTTCAAGTGCGAATTGAATTTGAGCTTCATGTTCGTCTTTAGGTGCAAATGACATTGCCAGAACGTCTCTATCAAATAGGTAACCGCCAAAACTAGCAACTCCACACCCCACATCTAATATCACTCTCGTACGCTTTCCCCATGCAATCTTGGGTACTGCCTAACGTTTAAGTGTTTATTATAAAAAAAAGCTAATTTAGGGTCATTGAGATTGTTAGTTTGGGCAACTTTACAGATGACGTACACTCCTAAAAAGTCCCCCAAACTAACTCACCTACAACTCTTCAAGAAGTAAACAAAAGTGTAATTTCATCACCCCATTAAAAAGAGCCAAGTGAATCAATGTCTTTTGGGAGGAATTATGAAAGATTTCAAAAACTTTTAGGCTTACTTTGTCGGAATTAATTAGATCACATCTTACAATCTTTACAAGATTCAAGTCTGTCACTCCTTAAGATTGGTGTTGTATGGGGAAAGAATAATAATTTATGTGAGCTGCCCACCAAACTTTATAATTTTCTCCAAGTGGCTCATGTAAATTTATTTTAGAAGAAATTATGGAGGTTAATAAATAGTTAAATGGAAAAAACGGTTGCCAGAATATGCGAATTGAATTTGAGCTTCAAGGCGCAAATGACGTTGCCAGAACGTCTCTATCAAATAGGTAACCGCCAAAACTAGCAACTCCACACCCCACATCTAATATCACTCTCGTACGCTTTCCCATGCAATCTTGGATACTGACTTAGGGTCAGAGAGATTGTTTATTTGGATGACTTTATTAAGTGTTTACACTCTGTATAAGCATGATATCATGCTTAGAAACTATCCTACCATGTTAGACAAGACTTATATAGCAATACCAAATTAGACTTGCAACACATGGTATTACAACTCAAAAAACATTAGAGTAGACATACGGACGATGTAAGACCTTAACATCTAAACATAGAAAATACATTTCTCGACGAACTAAGCCTTAATTCCAAATTAAATTTCATGGTAGGCTTTTCAAAGTGAAAACGGGATATCTTTGACCAGTATGGCACTATTATTTGGTATATGTTTATATATTAAACCGGACATGTCACACAAAGTTGAAAACAAGTAAACAACCACTCCGGGGTAGTAAATTCAATGGAAAAATAATTTGGAGATAACACATCAAACTTAGATATTTGTTCTGAACTTCTGATTCAAGGTCTTCTTCAACTAGAATCACAACCAGTTTTAGACTTTTAGTTGTATACTCCGTATAAGAAACTAAGAAAGTGATTTCTTTTTTGTGTCTGACATTGTTTATGGGGTATGAAACAGAGAAACAATTCCTAATATTTAGACCACCACTAATTGAAACTAAATATTACACTGAGGTTTATTAGTTTAATTTACTCCCTCTCAACGACATTAATTAATTTTTCACTTTTTGACCGCTAAATCTATAGTAATATTTGATATTGCAGGCACCTTATAGCTTCATATTTAGAGTCACACTTTAGCTTACCTGTTGGACAAAATCAATGTAATGTAAAGCTCCATGGATAAACTGAGTGCCTCCACCAGGAAAAGTAAGGAATTCTCCAGAGACCTTCATCCAATTTTGATGCCCTTTCACTTCTGCCAACAGTGTATGAGGCACATTGTGATACCATATCTGCATAAATGCATAACTTTTGTGAAGTATATACAGTTAAAAACTCACATATAACAATTTAGACTACTTCTCTTATTATTGATTAGGAGAACTCTTTGAAGTGGATTGGACATGATAAAAGGACTGACCAGTGATCACATAGATGCATTTACCTTATCTCGGCTTTGTGGCCATTCGATCGGTTTCTTGTACCCTTTGGGAAGCGGGACAAGGCATGTAGGAGGCTCCTCGGGGCAATGTCGCTCCCTGTGCTCGAAATGCCTTCGACTCCTTAGCTTCCTAATAGCTTCCTCGTTGTCCAAACACGGTATATAATCGGGACCGGCTGTGACATTACACAATTTCCAGCCTGTAGTACTATTTTCTTGATCATCGTCCTCGGCAGAACTTGTCGCCATCGTCTTTGCCCTTTCTTTCTGATTATCGGATTGCGCGGCTTGAGTCGACCACTCCTTCTTTGATGTCTTCTGGACCGCGTTGTCTGTGTCCTGATTTTGTTGCGTTTGATCTTCTCCCACCACTTCTTCCTGATGATCTTCGGTGTGAGCTTCTTGCTCAGATGATTGCCCTTTTGATTGCATCTGATCGTCTTCTTTCTGTTGTTGCTCGAATCGCTTCTGCTGATCTTCATCGGATATCAAGTTTTTCGTGTCAGCCGATGAGGTTCCTTGAACCTTATCATTGCTTTCCTCTTTTGAGCTTTTTTTGGCTTCAAATATCTCTTCCCTTGACACATCACCCTTTTCATCTGTTTGTTCACTTCCACTCTGCTTCTCGGCTTTCTCCTCCTCTGCTTCCTCTGCCGCTTTCTTGCTATCTGATTCGCCACCGCCTCCGTCGCGATCAGCCTCCGACTGCTCAACCGCAGCCTGATCTTTATTCGAATTCTGATTTTCACTCTCACGGTCGGACGATTCATTTTTAGAGGCGTCTTCATTATTGTCCCCGGGCTTCGCCTCCTCGTTGTCGTGGTCGGTTGACTTGATGGCGTCCTCGGGAAGCTCTCCGGGATGGTCTTCGAAAGCGGGTGGGCTCTTAGAAATGGTGTTGGTGACGGAGCTGAGGAGGGACGAGGCAACTCCGGCAGCGGCGTTGGTGGCGGTGGTGACGGACTCTCGGGTGGTGGTCCGGGGAGGAACAACGGAGGTCGAGGACAAGAGCCAGACCCCGAGGATGCATAACGCTACGAAGGCGATGGGGGTGACGGTGGAGGAGCAGGAGGAATTGGATGTTCTTCTACCGCCGGTGGTACGCACTTTTCCTAAGGCCATGTTTGTCTGCTTCTTGTTTTTCTTCTACTTTATTCCTTTAATGGTTCTGGGAAAATGGTGGAGTTGAACAAGGAATTAAGACATGAGAGGAGTTCCCGATTAGTTTGTGGAGGAATTAAGAGAAGACGGGAGACTAAAAGACGGAAGAATGATTCTAATTAAGATCCACAAGAGTAGGATCAGGAAGCTTATTTAGTTGCTTGCTTCTGTTATTTCAGTTGCTCCATTTCCCGCGCTTATCTGGTCAAAAAACAAATAGAGATGTTCATCATGGGTAACACACTACACATTCACTGATAATATTTTTTCGTTTTATTTTAGTTTAACCATTATATTGTATATTGGGTAATCTATTATTTTAAATTTCAAAAAGAGAAAATTAACACGTGAAAGAGGGGTAGTTTCCCAATGTATGACTAGAGTAGTTTCTTTCTCTAAATCATGTTAAATGACATGCCACATTTTGAATCTCTAACTGTAAATACTTCATGCGTCCATGCATGACATCCATGTTTGATCATACGGTAGACACAAAACAGTTTAGTCATACTTTAGGAAAAGTCAAAAGTTTTAGTATTATTGAGGTATTTTCCCCAAAAATATATAGAACTCACAAATATCAAAATATTATAATGTGATGCTTTCAAGACAGATGAGTGGAACAAGCACAATAATGTAGAGATGGTCATGTTCTAAAAATCCACTCAATAGACCATGTGTTTTTAGTTATAATTTCTTACACTATTCATATACTCTACTTTAACTATATTTTGTTTATTAGTTTTATGAGAATTATATTTTTAAAATTATTGTTCAATCCATCTCATTACAAGTTTTCAAGATATGTATTTTATTTTTTTACTAATTGAGAATAAGATGTATTTACGATCAAATTAAAGGTGTGCATTGACAAATGTGTAAAGTTGACTGTTGCAACTAAAAAAGAACAGAAGAAGTATCATTTAGAGAGTGTTTGCAAATGCTTTTGCTTTTAAAAAACACTTTTTAAAGTGATTTTAGAAAAAATGATTAATAGTAAAAGTTGATGATGTTTGAAAAAAAGTGATTTTGAAAAGTAAAAGTTGGTAGTTTTTGATAAAATATGTGTTTGTTGTTTATAAAGTAAAAAATGGTTTTCAGCCAAAAGTCGAGAAGCATTTTTAAGTAAAAGATGTCACTTGAAAATACTAATTTAAGCCTTTTAAGTTGAAAGCCGAGAAACGCTTTTTCAAGCGTTTGCAAATAGACCCTTTACCGTTAACTTAAAAAAAAGACATGTGCATATGATGTGCCCGTTTGGTAGCCAAGATTTTTGGCTTTTCAGGCTTATAAGCCAACTTTTTCACCAAACACGTAACTTCTGGTTTTACTGACTGCATTGTGTAATAATAAGAAAAAGTAAGGTTGGAGTTACTTTTGTGATTTTATTGGATGAAGTTAGTGTTATTTTTATTGGTTAGAGTTATTTTTCATATTTTTTTTTTCTTTATTTTAATATTAAAATGTATTTTAAATTATAATTTTTCACAAATCAACAGAATCACCCAATACAGCCACATCAGCCAGAACTTCATAAATTTCAACAGAATCAGCCAATACAGTCGATTTGGCTATTACCAAATAGGCTCGATATACTCTCTTCGTCCCCCAATTAAGTTAATAATTGAACCTTTTGAGTCAAACTTTATCAACTTTGACGCTAATTATTCAAAATTTACATTGCTTTATCACACAAAACTAATTTTACATACTTCATCGAAATGTGTATTATTCAAATGTTCATATATATTAGGCGTTATAAGTACATATTTTTAGATATTTAGGGTCAAACTTCCAACTAAAATACCGTAAAAGTCAAACTGTAAGGAATAAATTATATTTAGATTTTGAAGATGCTAGACTGATTAGGGTATTAGAGTACCTCTTTAGAAAATATGTATTAGAATCATTCATATGTAAGTACTTGGAAGTATTCGATGGACCAAAAGACCTCAGGTCTTCTGCCTCGCCCATTGGACTGAACTGCTCAAGAGATCTTTGAGGACTTAGCCGTCTACAGAAGTGCCTCCAGAACTGCTTACACATGGGAATTCTATTGAAGCTACCTAAGTCGTCTTTTGTAATGGGAAATTCCCTAACGACTAGGAGCCTCTCAACAGAAGAGCTACAGTACGCACATTAAATGCTCATTTAATGAGCTCCACACGTTAAGATATTTAAAGCTGATGATTAACCAAGGATCCAAGCGAATAACTGTACGTGCATTTGATGATGATGTTTTCTACACTCCAACGGAAAAGCATCTCTCAGTATATATGATACACCTCAAAGGACGAACGACGAACTTCACACTTTAAATTCAAGCTATCAAACTCTCTTAAGACATCATCTTCTACATCTTACAAGAAATCTAGCTTGACGTTGGAAAGATAATATTTTCATATCCTTCAAACCAACTCAAAGGAAGTTCTCTCAAGTTCCTCAACTACTTCGAAAGCTTCAACTACTCATCTTGTATGAAGGACGTTGGAGAAACTTTTATTATTTCTAAAAGAATCTTCTTGTTTAAGGACCCCTTAAAATAACTGGAGTAGTGAAGTGATGATACTTCTCGAAGCTCAGTGAAAAGAGTTCAGTCATCAAGAAGCTAGGAACAGCATCCCGGGTGACATCTAGGCTTGAAGAAGACGTGGAGAGCTTCTTAAGTGCTAGGGACTAAGTGTTGTAATCTGCCTTTTTGCAAGCTTAGTGGAAGAGTGGATTAAAGGAACGAGTTGTTCCTTGAATCACTATAAAAATCTCTGGTGTCATTTACTTACTGTTTTTAATTCTTGCACTTAGATTCTAACTGATTATCTCTAAAAGGCTTGAACTTTGTGTTCAGTAAATCTCGCCTTAAGAGTTAACAGAAAGGCAACTGCTTTAGTGTGTTTGTGAGACTACCCGACCAGAAGACCTTATCCGCTGCCGGTCAGTTCTGCCTAAGAACTTGACCTACTCTGTGAGTTTTCCTTAGACTCACGAAAAACTTAAAAACCAGAACAGTCTATTCACCCCCTCCCCCTCTAGACTGTTTCGTGTGTAACTGGGACCAACACAAACTTAGAATTTAAATGAACACGACAAGTAATTGGCCCAACTAGACTACTTTAAGATAGGGGGTATGCAATTGTTCAAAACCGGGCAAAGCTAAAATGGACCGAAATCTAAAACAAAAATTATGGAAACAAAAAATAGAGATGATACATGTCCTGGTTCTTATCTAGAATCAAGCAGATTTAGGGGTGTTTGGAACTGATTCTGTTTCTGCTTCTTTTTTAAAAGCAGAAGCAGAATCAGAATCAGTTTTCAGAAGCTGGTACCTCCCAGCTTCTAAAAAAACCCGATTCTGAGCGTAAATTAGAGCTCCAGAAGTGCTTCTGGAATTTCACCCAAACACTCCAGCTTCTGCTTCTGCTCCCTGAAGGACCAGAATCAATTTTGAGAATCAGATCCAAACACCCCCTTAATCAGTTTAAAACCTGAACCGGGGAAGAAAATGGATTAAAATCTATTTACTTTTTTCTCCTAACAAAATAAAATTAAAAATTATACATAATGAAGGCTAAAGTGTTTATTACTAAGACTAGTGCAATATGAGTGTAGAATAGTAAATATTGATTGGTTCCATTTTCAAGATAATAAAAAGAAAGAATGAAGGGAACATTGGAATAATATACTCCGTATTATAATTATTAACATTAATATTTATGTGGTTATTCATGATATTTACTTAATTTATTTATAATATTATATGTTTTAATATTTGTATATATAGACAGTATATATAAGTGTATTAAAACAGCCAAGTACCTTGTGATCTGATGGCATCCCTGCTGATCTCCCGAATAGGAGGTCGCAGGTTCGAGTTTCATCCCAATCAAGAATGTTGGCGTTAACAAGAGCAGGTACTATAATAGGTTTAGAAGAATGTTTCAAAAAAAATATAGGAAAATCGGCTTGTTTAGATTAGATACATCAAAATAATCCGGGTTATAATTGGAACTAGACTAGAACCAAAATTGTAAAATAAAATTTCACAATCGAAAGCAAACCCGGATTGCTTTTTTCTCATATGCTTGTTGTTAGTGCCCTCAACTGGCTGAGAGCTCCACCGAGGAGGTGATCGCGGTGCACGCGGACCGCAGAGTGTTTGCCCTCAACTGGCGAGCACACATGTAACACCCCGGCCCCTCAGGATCTGAGGTAGTTACTCCACACACCATCCAGACCTCTAGTATTGTCCTCACAAACCACCACTAGCCTTTTCCGCACATCCCAAGATCACTTCCGTGCAAGCACGCTTAATTTTGGAATTCCTGCTAATGAGCTCCCTTAAAAGGAGATGCACCTTGTTGGTATGAGTAGTACTATTAATCTGTTTAAATGAATCTCAAGTGTTACAATCACCCCTACTTAGGACGGAACGTACTCGTTGTACCATAAATTAAACCAATCTCAAATCCCAGAATCCTCCCCCACTAAGTGCCCGCCCGATATCCAACAGGTCAGCACACTATCGCAGGGTTGCTCTGATACCACCTGTAACACCCCGGCCCTACAGGATCCGAGGTAGTTACTCCACACACCATCCAGACCTCTAGTACTGTCCTTACAAACCACCACTAGCCTTTTCCGTGCACTTTGTCCTCACTCGTGCACGCCCTGAGAAACTTTCCAGGAGGTCACCCATCCCAAGACTACTCTCGTGCAAGCACGCTTAACTTTGGAGTTCTTGGTGATGAGCTCCCGTAAAAGGAGATGCACCTTGTTGGTATGAGTAGTACTATTAATCTGTTTAAATTAATCTCAAGTGTTACAACACACATATAAATTCATATATTTTTAGTATTAATATTTTAAATATGTCTATTTATTAATATTTTTAAAAATATCTACTAGATTCTGTTAACTTTTTTTTTAACTAATCACTTTCATTAGCGATTTGAAGCAAAATGTTAGTAACATAACTATGTGTGATTAAATGTTAAGGCGCAAAATGACCATTAATGATATGAATGTAGAAGTATATATATGAGGTGTTTGGAACTGATTCTGCTTCTATTTTTTTTTAAAACAGAAGCAAAAGCAATTTTCTGAAGCCGATCTCTCCCAGCTTCTAAAACAAGTAAACAACTGATTTTAGGAGTAAAATACAGCACTAGAAGTACTTATGCACTTTCACTCAAACACTTCAACTTATGTTTCTGCTCCCTGAAGGAGCATACGCAATTTTAACAATCAAATCCAAACACCCCATATTTAACTTAACTTGAGTTTTTGTAGTTTAATAAGTTTTGGAAAAATGATAGTGTTAGATTGTTAGCAGTTATTTAAAATAAACGAAACTAAAAAAACCAAAACATTTTCCAAGACATATAGGTAATCGTCATTTTATATCTTAAATACTACGAGTAATTATTAACAATTAAGTTACTAACAGTTTATCTCAAACCGCTAATAGAAGTTGTTAAAAAAACGTAACGGAATCCGTTGACATTTTTAGTCTTCCACTTTTAATGACAAATCAAATTAGAATGATTAAAAATGTCAATTTTATAATACTTAAAATATGAAATGTTGTGAATTTTATAATCAAGGACAAAAAATGTCTCACTTAAAAAAATTGATCAATTTATACCAGATGATTTTTTTTACCAATGTGATAATACACCCTCACTTTTTACCAATTTGATAATTTGGCCATTTTTTGTGTGTTTTCCCTCACTATTACTGTATTATTACACGGTAAACATACTATTTTTTGTCTTAAACACGTAGAGGAGTTGAAATAGTCCGAAAACTAACTTCGGGCCTCGTACATTTCACCTCCCGAAGTAGTGCCCGAATCAGACTTGGGGCTGGTAAAATTAACTGGATAATTAATTTACTGGATGGTAAATCCGTAAGGTAGCGGTATCATCCGGCCAAGCCTTATAAAAAAGGCCCAACCAAAACCTTTGAGAAGAAAGCGTTACGGTCTGGTTTATAGCCTAAAGATTGCCCCTTGAGCAAAAAACCCAGAGGCGAAGAAGACGAAAAGGAAAATGGCGGTTGAGGGGCAAGTTATTTCCTGCCACACCATCGAGTCCTGGAACGAGCAACTGGAGAAGGGAAAGGACAGCCAGAAACTGGTGGGTTATTTTAAAATCTGAATTAATTTTTTATCTTATTTTTTGAATTTTGTAATCAGCTTTTTTGAATCGGATCTTGTCGCTTATTTACGGACCATATTTATAAGGAAAAATTGAAAATAATAATCCCAACTATTGCCGGTCCGCTGAAAATAATCTCAACTATTGATTATTTTTGTATAATCCCAACTATATAGGCTATCCGCCAATAATGGTCCATGACCATATATTACATCTATAAAAAGTGAATTTTAAATAGAAATTAAGCGTAAAAATTAAAAGTTGAGATTATTTATAAGGATTACTTGTTATATCTCATCTCATCCACTTTAGAAACTACAAGAATTTATTCATAGGGACCATTATTGGCGGAAGATCCCTAAAGTTGGGATTATTCTGTAATAATCAATAGTTGGGATTATTATGAGCGGACCGCCAATAGTTGGGATTATTACTATCAATTTTTCCTATTTATAATTTAAAATCAAATATTATTATTGCTTTCATGAATCTTCTTGGCGGTGAATTTTACATGAATTTAGTCCAGATCTCGAAGTGCATGACTGTGAGAAAGACATTTCTAATTTCTTTGTTCTTGTAAAAAAAATTCAATCTGAAGTTCAGTTTTGATGGGATGTTTTGTTTCGGTTATTTCATGATTTGGTACTGTTTTTTGTTTGTCGACAGGGTTAACAAGACAACCCTAACTTAAAAATCTTCTCACTCTCCTTTTTCGTCCGGAAAAAAAAAACTACTTTTTTTTTTGGATTTATCCTACATTCCATTACATTATTCCACTATTTTCACATCATACCTTCAATAATTCATATTATCTTTTACTATTCTTAATCTACCTACTTTGAAATGGGAAGATTCTAAAGTTATGGAGGGAGTAACTATTTTTTCTGGTACAATAAATATAAATTCAATATAAGCTGAATATACAGATACAGCAGATTAATAAATCAACAGTGCTCCATTTATACGGAAAAATAAATGGAGCAAGGAAAATATTTCCCACAAATCTAGCCAACAGAGTACGTTTGGCGTGTTCCATATATTGTATACTTATATTATTGATATTCTAATTTATATTTATCTTTTTAGTACGGAGTATATAATATCTGGAACATTTATCACTATTACAATATTATTATTCAGATAAGTGAAGTAAATAAGTAATACTCCCTCCGTATCAAATTAATTGACCCGTTTGCTTTTCACGCAGTTTAAGACAATTACTGTAGACTTTATTAAAAGTAAGAGGTTTTTGGTACTGTAGCGACACTGTAGCGGTACTGTAGCAGTATTGTAGCTGCTTTTTGAGTGAGATTCTTTCCAAAAAGGGAAAGGGGTCAATTAAATTGATACACCAAAAAAGGAAAGTGGATCAATTAATTTGATACGGAGGGAGTAACTAATAACTAATACTCTCTATAATTACCTTTAGTCGTACTTCAGTTTTTTAGTATCATAAAATGTTTTTTTTTTAACTTTTTAGGATATATAAAAAGACGAAGAATGACAATGATACTACTCCCTCCGTCCCAGAATTAACTTCGGTTTTGACTGGGCACGGAGATTAAGAAAGTGAGAAATGTGTGGTGGAAAGTTGTGCAGAGGAGAGAGAAATGTGTAAGAATGGTTGTGAACCACAAATCCTTTGCTAAAAAAGGAAAGAGGAGATAAATTTGGGACGGACCAAAAAGGAAAGAATGAAGATAATTATGGGACGGAAGGAGTACTTTTTTTTCCTATATATTATTTCTTGATGTTGTTGTTAGAAATCAATAATCCCAAAAGAAATATGGGGAAATTGCTGAAATAGGAGAAAAAATGTTTAGGAATTTCAAAATACTACGAATTAGTAATGTGTTTTATTCCAAAAGAAGTAATTACTGACAAGTTTGGAAAATACCGTCATGTCTAAAAAAACTTGTTCAAGCAATAAAAAAGGTTTTTTTTTTCAAAAATATTACTAAATTAAAACTTATTTACACAAACATGAATAATAGATACTACAATGTAGTGTCATGGTAACTTAAGTTTAAAAATTGTAAGTTACTATGATTTCATTACTACTCTAATCATTAGTCACATTTTTGTAAATAATCTTTATTTTAGTCATAAATATGTAATTATTTCATAAAAATATTGTCATATTTTGGAATTGACAAACGTTGTTATTCCTATCTAGAGCAATTTCTTTTTTAATAATTGTATTAAAAACCCATAAATTGTTCTACATATAAACACCATTTTTCTTATGTCTTTCCATGGTCCAGTCTTGTATGGCTCTAGTGTGGTGATCTAGTCTGATTTGATCTAGTCTGAGCCTATAAGACCTGGACTACTTACCACCTATGTTGCATGGAAACGCAAAAATCATGAGGAAACGGGAAACGCGTAACGTCAACTTTTGCTCAAAAAACGCTTATTTGGAGAGTTTCCAAGAGTTTCCAAATGGGAAACGTACTCTTTCCCGAGAGTTTCCGTGCTACATAGACTACTACAATCTAGTTCTATAACATATGGTCTAGTGACTCTAGTCTGATATAGTTTTGTTTGAATAATCTTGTCAGATTTAATTTAATGTGAGCTGGTATACTGTTATGTGGGTTTTAGTATTCGCACATATTCATTAATAAGTGTGCCACATTTTTACTTTGATATATTACTATGTTGTTATTGTTGTTAATATTATACTAACTTCAAAAGAAATTAAAACATTTGTAGTTTAATAGTAACAATATGAATAATTTCTTCTGTCCCAAAATTTTCTTTCTACACTACATTTTGAAATGTCTCAAAATTTTCTTCTCATTTTCTTTCTACCAATTTTTATTATTAATCACTTTTCATGAAATCTCTAAAATAATTCACTTCTCCAAATTAGATACAAATGATAGAGACCTCCAGAAATCCAGAACAATTACAGAAAGATTAAGAAGAAACACATGAATACTTTTATTGAATCAAGAAGAACAGTACAGTAACCAGGCCGAAGCCTCCAAAGATAAGAGAAACCGACTTTCTCAGATCTTCCCAGTTCCCAGACTATACGTCCAAAAAGCCTCCTTCCCCTCCCAGCCTTTCTTCTATTTATAACAGTCCCGCTCCTGCCTTTATTTACTATCTATTCCAGAATTTTAACTAATAGCTACTAGTCTATTTATTAGTCAATAGGTGGGTCCCTATCAACAAATCTAAATACTACCTACGAGATGACTGAATTAATTATGGTAAATTGTTGGGTGACTAGTGGTATTGCGGGGATTTTGCTGGTTGGTTCTGGTTTCATTTGTTAGACTCCAGGTCATACCCAAAAATGTAGAAGGGATAAAAGATGAAATTGTTGTTATTTTCTCCTAATTGTTTTATGTGAAAAGAAAAATTATACTCCGTATTATTTCTAGGAATTCAGATCTTACTTCAATGTTCTTAACTTCTCACATGGCATGTCATTGCAGATAGTTGTTGACTTCACCGCTTCTTGGTGTGGTCCGTGTCGGTTCATTGCTCCATTCTTGGCAGAGTTGGCTAAGAAACTACCTGATGTCACCTTCCTGAAGGTGGATGTGGATGAACTGAAAGTAAGACCGACCTTCTCTTTCATAATATAGCTTCATTAAAAAAATGGAGTGTAGTTAATAGTTGTAAATATGCGAGAAACCTCTCTCAGATGTACAAATTTTATGTATTTAGCCACTCATGATAAATAACAATTATACATGTAAATTCCTCGAGCGGTTTACTTTGTACTTGGACAAACAATGCTGATTGAATGTGCATGTGAATTTTTATCAGAGAGGTTTCGTGCATTAAATCCAGTTGGTAATGCTTTGACAAATTGTGGTGGCGAGTGCAAAAAAAGAAGATTCCATTAAGGGTATTTTGTAAACAACATGGAGAGTTTGGGATTAAAAACTAAAAAGCCCAAGGCAATATTCTCGTTGAACTGTGGAAGCTTAATTAATTTGTACTCTCTGTTTACTTTCTGAAGGAAGTTGCCAAGGATTGGGCCATTGAAGCAATGCCAACTTTCATGTTTATGAAGGAAGGGTCGATTGTTGATAAAGTGGTTGGGGCTAAGAAAGATGATTTGCAGCAGACCATTGCCAAACACATCAACAAAGCAGCAGAGTCATCATCTTCCTAGTCCGTGTTTTGTAGCCTTTATTAATCATTGCTTTGTTAAGTTTAGAATCTTTTAACTTAGTGTGAGTTATATAATTTTATTAATCTTCTTATCATACAATGCTTTGATGTTTGAACCTTGCCATCTTTAATGTTTACAATCAATACAGTATAAGTGTTTTCTGCCTTCTAATTGAGATTTGAGGCTTGAGCAGTGTTATTTTAATTATTTTTTCACTTAAAAAAGAAATATTGATATGTGATATTAATTTGCTGTGTTAGTGTGCTTCTTTTGTATTAAGTAACTGGTTTGTTTTATCATTTCCATAATCATTGATGGATTATGGATAAGAATTTTGGATCCCATATTTGACACTCTCAATCAGATAAGTTCATGGTAAAGTAGGAGGTTAAGTAGGTAGGATGTTTTGATTTGGATGGAAATTTTTCGGGTTTGGTCTGGGATGGTTTAGTATGTTTTGTTATAGTTTGCTTTGGTTTTATGCAAGTGTTTGAGGTTTATATCAATGCAAGTGAAACCATCCTTATTCGCTCTATCCTAAGTGAAACCATCCTTATTCGCTCTAGTCTTATCAAGTCCAAAATAGAAATTTGTTTTCCACTAGAGAAAGTATTAGGTGCATCCAAGTAACTGGCTTCAAAAGAAAAATGCATCCAATCAGCAGTCTTGAAAGAATATGGATGTAAAATTACATCCAAGTGCAAGCTATATTTTGCTGTCAGCCTGTCAAAGGTATCAAAATAAGTGAACCATTCCCAAATCTTTCAAAGCTCTAGACTTGAACTTTAATTGCAACTAACACTTTGTATTAACGAGAAAAAAAGAATAAGGAAAAAAGAAGTGATTATTAATACAATTATATGTACCCTCATGAATCATGATCTCATCAATGTTTGACCACTCTACTTGAACTTCAGCCCCTCTAAACAAATACGAAGTATCACCTTTAACTTAGTCTAACTTTTACTGTGTTTTTTCGCGTGCTTAGTGTTATGTTCTCATTTCCAATCTTTTCCCTTTCGTGTATGTGGAAATATTCACATAGATGATCTCTTAAATCTCATTCGGAAGGGCTGCAGGTTGCTTCCACTTTCAAACTCTTCAGCATATCTGCGCATGGATCTCCAAAAACCCAATTTGCTACTGTCACTGAGCATTTTGGTTTCCCTTGACACTTCTGCAATAGTTTCAGCATTAGTCAATCACACTTTCCAAATAAAATTAATTTATTATGGGTTTAGAACATATCGAGTGCGTTTTACATTTTTTCAATAATATCATCGTACATGAGGTGTGCAATTTGGCCATTTCACTTCAATTGCGTTCGGAGCAATCTGACCGAGTTGTAGGGGACAATTGTTGAGTGTGCTTGACCCCTTAAGGCGTACTAATGTGTTTCCTAAAGTGGATGGTCATAGGGGGGACTTGGCGCTGGTTCTGGAACCCCGGACCGTGACCAGTTGGTTTTTTGTCGGGACACATTACTCGTATTATTTAATAAGTTGATATAAAGGGGAGAGGGGAAAATTAGACACCTGTTTTAAGGTTTCATAAGAGCTAGTAGCATGGCAATGCCCCTTGTAGAATTTCCCGCAGGTTCCAAGTGGAGTTCCAAAGCTTGCGAACTGGATGGAGGAAATGTATTGACCGGGCCCACAATCAAGGCGGAGTTTGGGCTTACGAAACTTTTCTTTTCTACCAGAGCTCTCAATCTGCATGTTCCTCATATTCGGTTGAAATTCAGAGACATCTGCACAAACACTCCTTATTGATCTCTTCACAAGAGTAATTCTTGATGGATCTCCTCTATGCTCCTCAAACACAACCAATAAATTTCTTGGTTGTAGCCAAGATCTGGGTACATGGTACCTGAGATATCAAAACTGTCAAAATTGGTCTGCAATAACATGTTCAAGAGCAACAATTCAATAGGAAAATGTACAGATCCGTCAAAAGTAGAAATTGACAAACGAACATGGAGTAAAACTAGAAAAGTTAAAAACCAAGAATCAAAACTGGAATTGATATAATAGTGCTGGGATCAAAAGTGAAATATTGTAAGGTTTACATTCTCTGAGTTGGATGACCACATCCAACTTGGTTCCTTTGAGGCTTGTAACGTCCAGCATAACTAGCCATGTCTTCTGTGCAGTTTCCGTTGGCCTTCGCTGTCCAATATCTACCGATGCTTTGACCGTTAATCCATACTTGACCTTTGCCCATGCTATTCATGTCCAAAGCCAATGGTTCATCTCCCGAAGGTTCATTGAAATAAGCCTACAAAATGTGTACTGAGATAGTGATATGACCAGTCTAAATATTTGTCTGTTGATTTATACTTTGTATTTAACGAATGTTTACTCGTCGGATCAGACCAACGTCAAAGTGGTGTGCTCGTTATGTAGGTTTATCCCAACAGAATTGCTCGTTTGAGTTTGATTGCCTTTATATTCATATCCATGAATACTAAAGCTCTTACATGATTTTCAACCAACTTACCTTATACCATGTTAGAGGCTTCTTTGTTTGTTTCACATAGGCCAATCTCTTCCAACCTACTGAAAAAACATGACGGGGTGAAAAGAACTTCTTTGCCTCTCCTGTAAGCCCTACCTGCTAACAAGACATTCACGAGAAGCACAAAACTGTGGCATTTTGAGTACCTGAAATGGAAGTGCAACATAAATGTGTACCTGGTATGTCCATCTTGCATGGGACAAGTCCAATTTTCCGCTATCAAGTCCATATAATAAAACAGGACCGGGAGAGATTCCTGTGCTCCTAGTCTCAAAACCTAAACCTATATTCTATAACAACAAAAAGATAAAGAAAATGATTTTTTTTCTCATTACATGCAATAAATATGTACATAAGTTTCTTTTGATTTTAAGATCCACTGAAAACTGACCCCGAAGAACAACATTGAAAAGTTGGGAAAAGAAGGGATTTACGTCAAACCCACTTATGATATATAAATTTTACACATCAGCCCATTGAGATTAAAAAATGTAAACCACACTTCAAATAACAAATTATACAAAACAAACTGAACACTTTTGTTTTATGTGACAGTTAATTTTGTTCTTTTAGAGTGTTATGCACATAATTAAAATCAAGGGGGTTTAATGTGCAGAATTTGTATATCACGAGGGGATTTGGTTCATTAAACTCAGAAAAAAGGTGTTTGCAAAAGTTCCTTTTAATGATTTTCACCTTTTAGTGATTTTCACATTTTGATTTTGAAATGTGTATTTCTACTTAAATTTAAGGATTTTGAAACTAAAAGTCAAGTGCTCAAAGGGAATTTTTACTTTTTCTCTTAAATCAAAAGGTACTATTCACCAGCCACTCGAACTCTTACTTTTACAATATCACTCTTTTCTTATAAAACACTACCAATTTTTATTAGTAATTATTTTTTATAAAATCTCTAAAATAATTCACTTCTCCAATTTAGATGCAAATCTAAATACTACCTACAAAATGACTAAATTAATTACTGTGAATTGTTGGGTGAGTAGTGGTGTTGGGGAATTCGTCGGTCAGTTCCGGTATAGTTTTTTAGATTTTAAAAATCCAAACTGATTACTTTAAATTAGTTTTGTTTATGTCAGTTCGGATGGTTTCAAACTCTAAGCCTTGAAATGAAAAATGTACTAATTAATTATTTCCAAACATCTCATCATTTTTAGCTTTTTAAATTCTCAACTAGTTTAAACTTAAAGTTAATAAACCATTAAATCATTTTCCGGATTTTCCCATAAATATACATTTGATAGATCTACCATAATGCCAGTAACAAACAAAGTTGAAAAATATATTTTGAGCTCTGATGTGATTATTTACATCATTGGAGACAAGCTACTATACTTTATGAGTTGTGATGTATTCTCATTTATGTTCAGCCCTAAATGGTGTAGGATAATTGGTATACATTCACTAGTTTATAAGCCCTTTAACTTTATACTAACTCTGCGCGTAATAATCATAACCATGGCTTCAAATTAAAATCATAAAAGATAGGAACTGAATGCCCTAATGGGCTAACGACGATGTCAGAGAACAAGAGCTGTGCGCGGGTTCGGTGTGAAGCAGTCCGGGAGGCTCGGCATTGGCCCAAAGGCAGGCAGAAGTTTATTGGCCCGGGTTAGCAATGGGCCATCATTTCAAAGAAACAGTAGTGTGTGTGAAATGGTAAAGAAGAGAGTGAACTAACCTGGAGTCCAACTGCAACACTGAGCAATGCAATAGTATTTGTCCCTGCCTCGAGTTCAACATTTTCAATAAATATGAATTT